CTAAGTATTACAAAAAAAAAAACTAAAAACCACACTAACACCTATATGTAAATTTTCATGACAGTTTTATTTATAATAGCCTAGAACTAGAAATATGTTAAATGTCCATCAACTGGTGAATGGAATACTATAGTACATCCATTCAATGGAATACTACCACCAGTTGCCCTCAAGTCGATTCTAACCCTAATAAGGAACGAAGTACTGATACGCACAACATGGATGAATCCCAAAAACATTATTCCAAGCAAAAGGGTACACAGTGACTATTAATGTCATAAATATGACATTCTAAAAATGACAAAATTATAGGGCTAGAAAATAAGTACCAAGTAGATGCCCGGCCTGTGGGAGGGCAAAAGGGACTGACTGCAAAGGGGCACAAGGGAAGCTTCTGAGTGATGAAAACAGACTCTATCTTGACAGTGATGGTGGTTACTTGACTACATTTGTCAAAATTCATCGGCCACATACCTCAGAATGCTTTAATTTTTTGTACTATATCTCAATCAACCAGACTTTAAAACAACTGAAATTCTATAATGTAAGCTCTATCTAGAATTTTTTTTCAGGAATACAAATGGTATTCATACTAGAAAAGCAAACACTGTGGCTACTCCACATACTGTTCTTCACCCCAAAAGTAGCAAGGTTCTCACCTAAACTCTAGCTACTCCAACTGGTCCAGAGATCAGAAGCATCATCACCATTATCCCGGGAGCTTCTCAGAAGTGCAAACTCTTGAGCCCCACCCTAGGATCCACTGAATCCAAATCTGCATATTACTTAGAACTCCAAATGATTCCTATGCACATTACTTAGCACAAGATCACTTCTACCGTTGTTATATATATCAGGAAGACAATCAACCAAAGAACTCACCTGTCTATATAAATAATCTGAGGAAATTCCAGCTTATTGTGAATTTTCTCTGGCTGACCAAGAGACTGATTGAACTCAAATCTTGAGAGTTCAAAGGTCAACACTGGAGGTAGCTTTGTAAACCAACACTATGTCAGAAGTAGAAATGTGGAAGAAAAAAAATTACTTTCAGGAAATAGCAATAGCCAGATTTAAAGTATCCCTCATCAAGCTTTCGTCTTTAGGATTATGGGATTTCTATTTAAATCAAACTCATACGAAAGCATTTTTCACCCCAAATATTAAAGGAAATGACCACTTAAAATCATTCCCTCTTAAAAATATCATTAAACATTCCTCAAAACCCCAAATTTACTAGCTAGTCAACAGCGTTTTACCCAACCATCATCCTCAAAAATAACCACCCCCAAATATATGAGTTGCACCAAGAATCTATACAAATCATTAAATTATCAGCATTCAAAAGAAGTTCGAAATCTGAAGAAAACAGTTAGCCAAATCAAATAATTAGAAATATTGATCTAAGCAACATATAACTAAGAAAGGAAACAACTGTCTCCATGAATTAGCTAAAATGACTAATATATGTACATGTATTATGTACAATTTACTCAGTCTATTAACCATAATTTACATCCCCCTTATATCTAAAAAAGAAACTTGAAACAGCCTCATGATTATGATTTTTCAAGTTTCTGTGAAAATCTTTAAATTCCAAGAATTTACAAATGTCTCATAAGGAACCCAGTCAAACCAACCTATAATGCTACCTTGAATTTCAAGAGAAGAAAACACTGACTTTTATAAAAGATTCCAACTGTAACTCACAGATTGGGAAAAGCTAAACCAGGAAGGGTATTTCTGTTCAATTCACCTGTATGCCAGAGGTTCATGTGAACAGCTGTAAAACGTTCCCTTTACCAAAGGTGCAAACAGCTATATTCCCTTCAATATACCCTGTAGGCACTAAACGTGAATCCAGACAGCCAGAGGACTGCTTCCATTACCCCAGGGCTAAACCTAAACAGGCATAATGATTTTCTCTCTCTCTCTCTTTTTTTTTTAATAAAAAGCTCCCATCCTACAACAAAGGTCTCTTCTCTTTTGTAAGTGAATACATCCGGTTTGCACAGATGTACACATGATATGTGCCCCATCAGGAATTAGTTCTTTTCTTGAAAAGCTAGGGAGGCAGTAGCTCTATCCACATTCCAACACTGCTCTACAGCCACGGTACTTTCACAAGGCTCAGTTTAGGCTCCCTACTTTAACTCAAAAAAACCCTTCCTTTCTCCTATAGTAATTGCTGAGATAAACTCATAATATTTAAGTCTCAATTTTGCCTCAAAGTACGATGAGAGGAAAATAATCCAAGCTGTGTAGTGTTGACAATTATGCTACAAATACTACTTACTAAATCTTAACCAAACTGGAATTTTAAGATATTAATTACCCTCGCTCTCGTTTTACTTCCCCCTTTCTTTCCAACCCCCCGAAATAAAATGAATGAATAAAAATTAAATTTAAAAAAATGTCAAAAGCAAAGGCAGAAGAATTTACAACTAAGAACAGTAAATACTATAATAGGGAAAATATTCTAAATGGCATACCATAGGTGTTAAGCACTGTACTTTTACCCTCCGAAAATATGGAGGCAGTGGGTTCTCCCTACTCAGGTACAGGTAGGCTTCAACAGAAAGAGAGAAACTTGATCATACTTAAAACATCAGAAGCAGCATACAACCTTTAAATGCTTAACTTAAATTCAGTTTTAGTAAAGAATTTATATTAAAGCACTAAGACTCACTGACTCATACCAACTCATGAGAGACTTAAGAAATTCAAGTTTTGTTAAGTGTAAAGTTATGTGATATGTGATGGAAACTAGTCTGCCTGAAAGCTCAGTCCTACTTAACTGGCTTCGTCACTGGCACAGCAAATAAAAATGTCTAACTTACCTCTTGTCCATACTTCACTGAATGATCGGAAGGAAGCAGCTCAATGTCACCCTCCACCATGGCCCCTTCCAAACATTCGTCTAAGTTGCGATAACCGTTTACCTGAAGGGGATACTGGCCGAAGGTCTCGCTGTTACAAAAGGGCTTTCCTAGGCAAAGAGAAAGACTGATTTTATAAGAGAGACCATCACACCTATCTATAGCCTCTTTTCTGGCACCACAGAGACAGTTGCTGTTGTTAGCTGCCAAAGAGTCAGTTCCGACTCATAGGATAGAGTAGAACTGCCCCATAGGGTGGGTTTCCAAGGAGCGGCTGGTGGATTTGAACTGCCGACCTTTAGGTTAGCAGCCAAGTTCTTAACCACTATGCCACCAAAGCTCCATGGAGACAGTAGCTTCCTAAATTCACAACTTCCTGAAAACTCATCACAAGTGCTCTTAAGCCAGTGATAACCTCTCATGAACCAGCAGGTCCAGGCATTCATCATTAATAGCTGCTAACATCACAGAGGACAACCAGACATTATGTGCCTCCTGATCCAAGAGCATCCCACCACCTGTGAATCTGACTTGCCAAAAAAGAATCTTACCTCAATCTGGTCAAACCTCTAGATCCAACTAATTTTTAGCAGTAGGAGTACAGTGGGTCATGTTAAACTGTATCATGGGCATGCAACCAGTAAAATTCAGACTGAGAACTACTATAGAAAAAAAAACCCAGTTTCTTCAAATCAGACATTTCAAGGAAAAAAGGATGGAGGGGGAGCCTACAGATTTTTAAAAGAGACTTGAAAGATCTATCAACCAATCATATTTGAACACTGACCACATACTTGATTTTAAGAAATGCTAATTTTTTTTGAGCAATAGTAGTATTGGATTATGTTTTTAAAAGAACATGGGAGAGGTAAAAGTAGACAGTTGTTAGGTGGGGAATGATTGGCAGGGGCTAATGGTTGCTGTGAACATAGGATTTTTATATTGCTCTATTCGTATATGTTTGAAATTCTCCATAATTAAAAAAAAAAGAAAGTGTGTCATGTATGTAGCTTCGATAAGCCTCTATAGTAGACAAACATTTTTGGCAATCTAACTCAATAAAACCTTTTGAGACTAATTATGACATTAGAAAAATCAAAACAGAAATTTGAGTAACATCACTATTCATCTGACATTACTGCTAGACTTGGGCTGTGTACATATTATATAAGTTAATATAACAACTCTGAGATAAAGATTGTTCCTGTTTTAACAGAGGAACAGATTGAGGCTCCAAGAGCTCACACAGTATGTCCCCAATTACACAGACACTAAGAGGCAGAACCATTGCTCAGATTTGGGTTTTTCTGACTCCAAAGCCGTTTCATTTTATTGCTTCCCCAGAGAAAATTTAACAAGCACTGCCTCCTAGACACAGTAAAGAAAGATCTGGTCACAAGTCACAGGTCTAGAATTACCTTCACGAACTCCTTCAGTCAGGAAAGTACCGTAGAAGAGCTGCACCATTGGATTTTCACATTTGTTGCCGGAATTGCTGCTTTTAAAGGAGACAATTCTATGTCATTCTGATCAGATATGTACTATGCTAAGCTCAGCCATCATTCAAAAGTAACAAGTAGTGCACTATCATTAACTCCCAAAGAGCCAGATTATGTTCTAAAGTATTGGATAAGTTCAGTTCAAATACTTACTGAACAAGTATATGCCTGCATTGGCTGAGTTCTGGAGGCACAGACAATATGGCATGATCCTTGGCCTTAAGGAGCTTAAAGTCCAATAGGGGAGCCACACATGCAGACAAACACATGTATCTGTATACATTCAACATATACATCTATATCCAATGACAGCTGTATACAAGGTACAGAAGTAGCATAAAGGTAAGAATGAACCCTCTGTGCAGTGTTACAAATAAAAACACAAGGGTTTTCCCAATGGCACAATAGAAATGAAATGAAAGTAGTTTTTTTCGTACAAGCCCACCTTAAATTGTTATTAACTATGTCAGTTGCTATTTGTAAAACTCTCTTATGATATATAATTCTTCTACCTAGAGTTAAAACAATTTAGAAAACGAATTTCTCAGCATCTGTACTAGACAAAGAACACATGAATTGTTGGCCCTCAACTTCACTTGACAGTCAATAAAATGACTAAAATCCTCCACACAAACTGTTCTTAAATTTAATATATTCATATTATACCATCATGTTCACATCTAGGATTTATTTGCTTTTTACAACACAGGGTATGCAATTAACCAAAATAAGAATTATGACCCTTTTAATAAAAAAATGGTAGGTTAAGATGATTACATCCTCAGAGGGGAAAACCAAAGGCAAGGGGAATACACAATGAGGAATATCTCAGTGGTTACCCAATGAAGTCTGGTAAAAACCAGCTATTTCTACTTGAGAACAGTAGCTTTCTCCCATGTCATAATTCACATTGGACCACTGTGTACGAAGTATGGTACAAGCAAATCCTCAACACTCACTTAACATTAACAGCTAGCTGGAATGCGTCCTCTAGCCAATCCAGGAGCTTGTGTGTGAATTCACTTACATCTTGCTGTAAGAGAGGCATAAATTGCATAAGAGTTAGACTCAACACTATACTTAGGGAAATTAAAATTTGTTTTTATCCCGCCAATCACTAAGATTCTACTACTATGAGAGGATATCTTTTTTAGGGCCAAATAAGATACGACGGACACTGGAACCCAGTGACCACAGGTAAAACAGAAGGTGAGTTAGGCAATCTCTAAGTATATTGTGGCTAGAAGGAAACTGAAACTCCACCACTTCCAGCCACATCTATCTGCGTGGCAGAGAACAACAAGGAAATAAAGTCTTCCAATTAGGCCTTAAACAATAAAAAGTCCAAAGAAGAGACAATAGTCCTCTAGAACAATGTACAGAGTAGAGATCTGAATGGAGAATGGAAACGTTTATGAAAATGCTTTGACAATTTTGTAGAACCATAGGACCTTTATCTAAATAGAGAAAAAATAAATAAAATTTATATGGGGAAGAAGCTGTTCTAATAGTGACAGCTTTGTTTTTTAATAGGAGGTATGGAAAGGAAAGGAAAGTACTAAGTCTAGAAGAAGAAAATTGCTCAGAAAAGCTGAACTCAGGTTTAGATAGTTTTAAAAATATGATTTCTATTTTTAATCCCAAGACAAAGGCACAGACAAAGGACTTTACTTTTCTCAGTGACTCTCTGCTATGGTTCACTGGGATATTTTCCAACTCCTTCCCTTCTACTTCAATCTTCCACTGCCACAGAGTCTATTCTGATTAATTGTGACCCTAGGACAGAGTACAATTGCCCCATAGGGTTTCTAAGGCTGTAAATCTTTATTGAAGCGGACTGCCACATCTTTCTCCCATGAAGCAGGTGGTGGGTTCCAACTGCTGACCCTTTGGTTAACAGCCAAGTGCTTACTCACTGCACCACCAGGGCTCCTTTCTACTTCAAAAGTCCCTATACAATTCTTTTCTTTCTTCCTTCCTCCCGGCAGAACTGCCAACTCCTGCCTCTTACCACAGACAGACAGATATACAAACATACACACTTTTACCATCCGTTTCTTGGGCATTATAAAGGGCAAAAACAAGCACCCATGGCCTTGCCTAGTCATGTTCAGTTGAAATAAAGCAGTATCACAGTAATATAAACAAGGCATAATCTGAAACCTCTACAAAGTTTGAAGAAAACAAGATAAGAACAAGGCCTTTTCTTTTGTACCTGCTGTTCCTCAGATGATCGGAATGCTCCCTTTAAGAGATCTAGGGCTGCTGAAGGGTCTACAAACTTGCGATTTGATCCCATCATCAGAGCAAACAGATACTGAAGCTCCTGCATAAACACGACATTTCTCTTTTCCTGTAGAAAACACAGCAATGAGTACTCTCGCAACATCATTTTTGGAAAATTAGAGCACATAATGAGAAAAGTTGTCAATGATTACTCCCTAATTTATATTTATCTAGATCTAGATTAGTGTCTGATCCCAAACTATGTTATAGGAACTCTGGTAGACCTACGTAAAATGGATTACTCTAAACTGAAGAACATGTAGAAGCCAGAGAGGTAATACTGTCAGAAAAGCAAAATGTTCATTTTCGGATGCTGTTACACTCCCTCCTGTTAGGAAAATGCATTGTCAAGGTGAAATCCTGGCAAGGGTTACATGGCTGGCAGGAGGCTACATCCTTTGAGAAGAACAGACAAAAGTCTCTTCTAAGAAGGTCCAGCCACTCCTCTGGCATCAGGTCATCTATTCTTCATCACAAGGGCCGAGCAGCTAACGGAACCGTAAAAGACACCATAAACAAAACAGGGATCTCTGAATCTCCCTACCCAGAGATAGAAAACTGAGGCTGTCACAGCGACTGACCACACTTTTTGGGAAGTTTTTCTAAGGTTATTCCTACTCCATATTTTTGCAAACCATTACTTCTTGTCACAAACAAGGAAAAAGAGTCATTTAGAAATGAAAACAAATACTAGCACAAGACAAAGAGTATCATAGTTACCAACTTCAGCTAAAAATTTAAAAGCTTTCGGGATGAAAAGACTATAAACAACAATGAAGAAATTCCTCAAAACCAACTTACCGTGTGACTTCGACAATTTTCTAGTACATTTTGCGGCAGACTATAGCTGAGAACAAGTCTTCGAAATTCAGGCAATTGAAAGAGAGACTAAAATAAGAAAGAAATGGATTCACAGTCTTTCCTTCAAAACAACTGCAACAAAAAATATTCTTCTTTCACCTTAACAGGATGTATAACTGTCATCCCAGCAATTTTACTTCTACTATTTCTAAGGAAATAATTATGGCTATGCACAAAAATTTACCTGAAAGAATGTTAACCTCTTTGAAACAATCTAATGGTTAACAAGAGCAACATATTAAATAAACGATATAGAATATTACATAGTCATTAAAATAATATTACAGAAAACTGTTTTCACAAAATGGACTACTATACAGCAGTGAAAATGAATGAACAGGAGCTATGTATATCAACATGGATAAATCTCAGAAATATATTTTGAGTGAAAAAGTTGCAAGAAAATACAGTACTATGTTGTTTACATTAAGTTTAATAATATGATATACTGGTTTGGATTACATGCATGCAGTTATACCTGTAGGGGAGGGAGGATTGGGGACAGGCACAACAGACTCAATAATATAGGAACTTGTAACATTTTGTTCCTTAAGTTGGGTGGTGAGTAGAGCAGTATTTACTATTCTCCTTGCTCTTTGTTTTAAATATTGCATTTTTAAGAAGCTGAACAGGTATCTCTGGCTGGCAGAATTGGGGAGAGGAATTCTTTTCATTGTTTGTAAATCATACATTCTTCTACAAGGAGTATCTTTTGAAAGTTAATTTTTAAAAAAATCCTTATATGAAAGTGACTCCTTACCCCAGTATACTCAAAAAACCCCTCTGTATACTAGAACTCTTGAAGCAGCATCCTAGGTATACAATAGGCAAAACTCTGGAATAAGAACTAAGTAAATATTTTACTGGCATTCAAAAAACCCCAGGTATACCTTCTAATGCCAAACAAAGAATCAAAATGTTTCTACCTTGCCACACAGCCACCCGTGACAGGGGTCCAAGAATAAGTGGTCCCCCCAGTCCTTACAGCCAACAGCATTGGGTGCTCATAGTCTGGCTGCAAAACCCACCCAC